CTATATAAACCAACATGTCTATATAGAATAACCTTGTAACTACATAAACCAACATGTCTATATATAATAACCTTGTAACTATATAAACCAACATGTCTATATAGAATAACCTTGTAACTATAATATAAACTATATAAAAATTAAATACAAGCATTGTTGAATTGAGAGAGGAGGCTTCAGCACGTCTCCACATTCTGTCTCAAACATTACTCTCTGTTATCATGTCTATGAAAAAAGAATGTTAAATCACTTAAGATACAACGTAAGGTTAGTCATAGGGATAAGGCAACATGCGTATACAAACAAATGCAGTTGTTATACCACCACACTTAATGCACGTCGTCTATAAAACAAACTAACATTCTGGCAGATGTACAAAAACAGGAGTATAATCATTCGCTCACACAATCTGTGTTATTTTATCTGCCACCATCCTCTGTTTCACACTGTTTAAAAAAACGTTTGCTATTACACATATCTTACATACTTGTGATCTGTGATAGAGTTGCCTCCCTTACATTTTGTCATCATGTAGTATTGTCAACAAATAAATCATTCTTGTGTACCTGTTATCAAATTAATGTATCACATCCAATTTACACGATACATACAAGATTTGCATGTTTCTTAGTAGGAACCTCTTTGGATAAGAGAAGTAGGTCAGAGTAAAGTACATTTTGAAGCATACACCCTTAAATCAATTTGGATACAGCGTATCTCTGCAACAGCATTATTGATACTGAAAGTAATATAGGATTAACTGAAGTGTCAATAAACGTCAAGTTTCACTATCCCTTAAACTAATTGTGACAAATAGGTTATCTCTGTTAATTTATCAGACAACTCCATGTACCGTTCACAAATAGGTTATCTCTGTTAATTTATCAGACAACTCCATGCACCGTTCACAAATTCCATAACACGCTAAAGCCAATCTAATATCTTATCACTTTAAAAACTTTTGATGGAAACATTCCTCGGGCTGCCATGAGCATACACTACAGATTCTACACACTGTCAGACTAAAAACAG